AATACCAAAACCTATATCGCTTATTTATTAAACCGATATCATTGTTAAAAAAGCCTTGAAATCACACAATAATCAAATAACTTGACATAAATCAGTTGCAATTCATTGCCAAAACTCAACTCAACACAAGAAATCACTTGCGGATTACAAAACAAAATTTCAAATTCAATGCCAGCGACACGTAAGTAAAACAAACAATTCATTTGCACGGCGAAAAAGCCAACTACAGCAACAAAAATACAGTTAAAATTTACTCGCTGCAATTCACTCGCTGAAATTGCCACACAGAAAATTGCGATTTTGTTATACCCTTACAGCCGCTATAGCAATTTTCCCATGATCTATGCAATGCATTTAGGAACTCACACTTCTTTCTTGGGCAGATCTCGGCCTTAGCCAAAATTCGTAGTCAATTTTTCTTACGTTTTTGATATTTTTTAATTTAATTATGTATTTCCTAAAGCGAACTAACCAATTTTTCAACCAAATATTTATATACAAAATTGGCTTAAAACTAAAGAAGATATCATGAAATTTTACAACAATCAAATATATTATATTTAAACACAAATAGCAAAATTTTAAAAAATATTCAGTTTTACTTCTTCAATCACATCACAAGAAATATATTTTGAACATTTAACCTTATTTTACATAAAAATACCGAAACAAAAGAACTTTCGTCGTACATAACCTATCCTAATATAAATTGGGTCATTTTTGCTGTAATCATTATATCATATAGCTCCTGCTATTTCTCCTCATATAGCAGCGATTAGAAATTTGAATTTTATTATTATCATAATTTTTCGTAGGTCTGTTAGAGTATGTAAATGTCGCCACTTAAAAGCTAGTTAGGTTCAACCTGTTTTTGGTGTTCTAAGATTTAATTTCTTGGCACTTTTGAAACGAAAAATTAAATAATAAGCTTTAACTGATTTTTGTGTTAGTTGAATTCTTGTTGTTTTTATGGGGATTCGCTCGCGTTTTATGGCTCTTAGAAAAGTTCATTGAACGTGAGCTGAAATCATTTGTAGCTTGTCGGAGTCGGATTCGCCGTCTCTCGTCTTCAAACCAAGTCGCGTCGACTCGACTCGATGCGAGTCAGACTCAGACTTAGAGTCACTCGACGGCTTGTCTAACCATATAGAGCATATGCTCTATAAAGGCGGCTACATGCACGGGCATTAGGGCGGCGCGCGGGCAGGTAGTTGGTATTCGGTGTTTGGCTTAAGTGCGGGCATGCAGCGCACTTTTAAGGTCGACCGCTCGTTAGACTAGAGCTTGCCGCCTGCCTGAGTCTGCCTCCGCCTCTGACTCTGCCTATGCCTCTCCGCCTGCGCCCGCCCGCCCGCCTGCTCATTATAACCCTAACCCCATTTGGCTTGCGAGTCGCATCGGTAACCTTTTTTTTTGTTTTTAACCAGCCCGTGATAGTGCTACTCCTCGAGGCTGAAATGAAAATTACAAACATGATCATGTGTATTAAAAATAGTACAGTGAATTCTGTCTAATGTGGGATTTACACGATATAAATGATTATTCCTTTTATAAAGTATATATACAATGCTTGATTAGAAAATTCTAATATTCCAGAAAATCAAGTAGAAGTTTGTTCAATATATTCTCATTTCATCTTAAATAAAATTTCAGGCATCATTTTTTTTGTTTGTTAATCATAAAGCTTTCTAAATTGTGAAGTATTCCAGTTTATGGAATACCCTAATACCCCAATTAATGGATTATTAACATTTTGCAAGGATTAGTTTTCCGAGCGATTAATAAAACTCTAAGTAAATATGTACAATTATATATATTTTTATAATTATATTTAGTATGTATATAACGATTACTAATATCTTATTATATATAAGTGCTTAAAATATTATAATTTACTAATGCTAATTGTACAACTTTATTGTGTTAAATTTAGTTTATCAGAATTCCATGCATCTATTTATTTAATCTATCCATCTATGTAAATATGAATATTTATGAACTCCAATAGCGAAACCCGTTTTACATAGCCTATTCCCACTGTGCGCTCTCTTTCCAACTTAAATACCAAAGTTAAGAGATGACTGATTCAGTTTCTGCCCTTTTGCCTGAGCGATGTCTGTAAAAATAATTAACATTTGAATCAAATTAGTTTGCAATTAGTGTGGAATAGCATTGCGAGGGAGGGGAAGGGTGTATAATGCCGCCCTAGAATGTCAGGCCGCATAAAAAGAGATGGGGGGGGGCAACATCCGTAATACTCATTTATGCGCCTGCTTTGGGCACTTTGCTCAGCGACGCGGCGACAACATCAATTTTACATTTCGCCTCGACGCCAGCGTTGCTGCAGGCAAATTCAATAAATGTTGCGTCAAGCTTAGTGAAACGTCGCGCCGCATCGGTCGGAAGTAAGCACACACACACAATACTCACGCTCTCACACAGGCCAAAGCGCCTCGAAAGCTGGCCACCCTAAACAAAGAGCAAGGCAAAAACTACACAGAAGCAGCGACAACAATAATAACAAAAACAACAACAACAAAAACAACTACACAATCAACATTGTGACTGACATTCTGTCAAACATGCAGCGACGTCAACGTCAACGCCGACATCAGCAGCGGCTTCTCTCTAACTTCAATGTCCGTTGCGTTTTTGTTTTATTTTTTTTTTTGCATCATTCTTTTTTTCTTCACTTTTATTTTTCAAATTTGAATATCACCGTCGCTCAGATTCTCAAGTAGTTTTCAAGTTGATTGCATTCTGCGGCATGTCTGTGCCGGCAACGTCGCCTTCGCTGTCGCTGTCGCCGTTGCCGTTGCCGTTGCCGTCTCTCCGTCAGCTCTCATTCATTTCCCATGTCGCCGGTCTATGTGCTGCACGCCTTGGGGATGCAGAGGCCACAGCAGAAGCAGAAGCAGAGGCTGTAAAAAGTGTTTTGCACCCCACTGAAAAAGGGGTTGCTGCAAATGGCGACGACTATGTGAATGACGATTATGAGGATGTTCCGTCTGTTCTCATTTCGCTTCAGTTTACTGCTGTGCTGCCGGCACATTTCGTCTGGCTTGTCAAATACTTACAATACCCTAACAATTGTTTTGTCTGGCTTATATGTACATATGTAAGTACTTTGGCTTGAATGTTAGCCGAATGTTAGCAATTCCAAAAATGTAAGCCCAATGTTAAATTTGTAGTGGGCAGAAATAACTTGTTGGAATTGCTTTTTATTCTATAAATTAAAATTATGTAGTTAGCCAATATGCCCTACCTTACGCAAATGTCAACCTTGCACCTCTCCGTTATGACTTGCTCACAAATTACCGGATCTCACTCAAACCTACATATCATATGCCTCCTGAAGTAATCTGCTTTCCAGTTTCCAATTTCTATTACTTTTTTATTTATTTTTTTATAATCTACATTTTTTGTTAACCTTTTTTTTGCGCTGTTGCTTCTCATGACCCCACAGCAAAGCAGGACTTGCAAGATGCTTGTATCCTTTAATTTTTTTCTTCAACAAAATTGTGTCTACGACGCACAGTTTCTGGCTGAGAAGACATCGTGTGCTTAACAGAGTGTCGTTTTTTTTCTTTTCACACAACCACCAAACTAGCGTCACCCTTAAGGCTAAATGTCTACCCCTGCCCCCCCCCCCCTGATTTTTTCCTTCTAGATTTGTGGACTGCGCTTCTATGCATGTTACGTTTTTTTTTTGTACTTGCGTGATTTTTTCTGCTCATAGATAGCAGAGATATTTTTTTGAGCTCGTTTTGCGATCGTCTGCGCCTGGAACTTCCCACGATCCTTGTGGACTTTTGTACTTAAGACCTTTTTATGTGCGTGTGTGTGCGCGCAGTGTCATAAATACTTTTAATTAACTGGAATTGCCTACGTGTGTGTCTGTATGTCTCTCTGTGTGTGTGTCTGTCTGGTTTGCTTGTCGCTGTCGCTGCTCATCTGTCATATTGTCTCCCTCTAGCTGCCTGGCGAGAAATGGAAAGTGAAGTTGGGCGTGAGTTTTTTTTTTGCGGCGTATTTACCATAATTCGCTTGATTTTGTATGAGCATTGCAGCAATAGATACATATGAATACCCCAGTTACCGATCGGAACACGCAAACACAGAAACGTATTTGAGCAGATGTGTTTATCTAGTTCAATGAACTTTGCTTAAAAGCCAACAGCAGTCCAAAGTTTGGCTCATGGCTCGGAGAAGAAACATTTCGTATGCATGTACATGTATGTGTGCATATGTACACATGTTGTATTTGTTTTATTAATGACGTTATTCAATTGTGTCAATATTTCAGATTAAATAGGTTATTTTAAATCGTTTTAAATAAGTTTAACAAAAACAAGGTAGGTGTTACATGCTGTTATATACATACATACATATGCCATGGCGTTGGCAACATTGTTGACGGCAATAAAAACGCGCAACATGCGTATCACACTGACACGCAGATAAAAAGACGGTGGAAAACAGAGACAGCAATGTAATATACGTACACATAAATACTTTCAGACACATACATACATATGTATATGTCTGTATGTACATTTGTAGTTGGTTTGTGGGTGCGGTGGCAGTCACGTTGGAGGCGGCATGTCACTTCCGTCTCTCAGTTTTTGTAGCCGGCATTTGAGAAACTGAGAGCGCGGCTCAAAAGCACACAAACACACGTATTCATACATACACGCACACCTACCTACTATGAGTCTGGCATCCACATGCCACAAGGCGTCTGCCTACGTTCCACTCACCCATACTCGTTTATAATATGTTGCCGCCTCAGCTGCTGCTTACGTTACAGCACTTCGCTCTCTCAGCTGTGAACGCTTACTCTCAGCTGCTGCTTTGAATTCGCCGCTACAAGCAAACTTAACAGAGTCCAAAAGCGGCACAATAACAGTTCAAATTGGTGGCAGCAAATTCGCCGCTTTTAGTTTTTCGTTTACGCTCCGCACTGCTGGTCGTGTCTGTTTGTTGTTGCTGTCGTCGCCGTCGTCGTCGTCGTCGTCGTCGCGTCGTGTCGCTGCTGTTGCTGTTGTCCACTGAGTAAACGAAAAGCTACACCAAAAGTAAGCGACAACGCGAATCGTATCACGTAAACGCCCGCGTGGAGAAATATGTACATGAGAGATGTCAACGAATATGTGTCCGAATGCGGAATTATTCAGCAATTCATTGAAATATTGATAAGTGACGTCATCAAGGCTGTACGGACTGGCCTTGTCTAGCTGCAACATTGAGCAACAACAACAACAATAACGAGGGATCATTAGCAACACGCCGCCTCTGCCATCGGACCAGCACGCTTAACGTCACGTCGCCACTTACGTTTTCTCTGCGAACTCGCTCTCTCTCACTCTCGCTCTCTCGGCGAGACACTCTCTTTCGCTGTAGGTTTGCCGGCGACTCCACTTACTACTACGACGAAAAGACACTCAGGCCAGGCAGCACTCACTTTGCGTTTACGTCGTGGCCCATGAAGTTCGTTTAGCTCGCCGCACAAAATGTGAAAACTGATGAAAAGAAAGAAGAAAACTGCACACATTGGGACACACAGCTAACTAAACAACAATATTTTGGGACAGACATAGTACGCGCATCAACAACAATTATGTGATATCTACAACAAATATATAATTTTTTCTTAACTGCTGACGTCACACGTCGAAAGAAGAATAAAAATTTTGCGCAAAAGAAACATGAAAAACGTAGTGAAAAAAATGTACATGAAAAACGCAAAAATATGAAACGTGTGTGATATTAAATGAGCGCGACGGCGGCAGCAGCAACAACAACAACAAAACATCAGCAGCAGCGACGTTGGCAGCAGCAGCGGCGACGGCGACGCAGGCGACGGCAGCAGCAGCGTTTGCAGGCATTTGCTTTGCTGGTGGGTTGTGCGTCGTGATATAAAGGCAAAGAAATTCCAATTTAGGTGCGTGCACTTCTAACACATATGTATAATTTTCTTCCCAAAAACTAGAGAAAACTTCGATACGATTTATCAGTTGCTTTCAAACTGCGCAACCATGTGTTTTGTCAGTGTATGTGTGTATGCGATTTACAATTAATCATTCTTGCAGGTTTGCTTTGTGCTGCCTCTCCTCCGCTCTAAAGCCCGTTAATAACCTTTAAATGCCTTTTGTATGTGTGTGCGAGTGTCGTCGGCTCTGCTCGATGTGTTTAAGGTGAAGCTACGTTTAATTCATTTGTAAACAGCAAACTTCTAAAGCTCTCGCCATACACCCCCGTGCACTTGCTGCTTCCTGCTCCACGTTATCGTTTTTTTTTTTGGGCGTACCTGGATTAATTGTTCACATGTCAACTGAAGTTGTGCGGTCGATTCAACAAATGCTGTAAGAGAGTTTCTGATAACGGCGCAAGGGGAAATTTTCAATGCAAGTTTATGAGCAACTCATGACTGAAAATGCGTCATACATATGGGCAACAACAGCAGTACCGCATAAGTCTACATACATATGTATGTACATATGTACGTATTGCACATATGTTCACATAATACAATTTTCCAGCTACTCTTAACAATATTGCTTTGCAGGCATTTTCGTAACTTATATAAGTAGTAGTTGGGGAATTCCCCGAAATTGAGAATATTTTTTTTTTTGACGGCTTGCCCGGCATTAAGTTTCCACTTTTCCAGATTAACGCGGCACCCACACACACATACAAACTTGCACGCCCAAAAAGCTGCCAACTCCCCAACCCCAACCCATTTTTCTGCTATATTTTTTTGTTTGCATTTTGTTGGCGAATTATTTTGCGACGCATTTTATGCGCCTGCCAAAGCTCTCTCTTGTTTTGTGCACCTCTCTGCCGCCCACCAACTGGCAATTATTTTTGGCTTTTGCACCCACCAAATATGTACAGAAAAAGAAAGAAGAAAAACAACAGCCACTGTTGAGCCTAACAGCGCTCTGTTGTTAACTGTAGCTTACATTACCCGTTCGCCATCCCACTCTCACTGACAAATAGAGTTTGTAGCTTTACTTTTGCTGTTGCTGTTTACACTTGCGTCTCTTGCTGTTTATTTAAACTGCATACCAAAGTGTGCGTTCAGCAAGCACAAACAAATAAGACGATTGTTGTTGCTGCTCTTAATGATGTTGCTTTTAGGCAAGTTTGTCAGTGCTTAGGCTTAGTTGATTGGCGTTTTTGGGTTAAGCTTTGATTGTTTTGTGCAAACAGATAAAACGTTTAGCAGTGCCCTGTAATTGGCTTAATGTAATTAACAGCAGCGTTAATTACAGTTACATATGTACGTTACCATGATCTATTATACATATATATATATTTGTATGCTTATGTCCGCACCGGTTAACAACAACAACAGCATGTAATCAGAGTGGACCTCATGCCAGAAAACCGGCTGCGTCGCAATAAACATGCAATCCACAATAGACCGAAACAGCGCAGCAGCAGAGTAACAACAACAAAAGCTCTGCTGTGGACCGCATCTGTGAACGCCTAGTCGGTTGGTCTAACAGCTGTTATGAAAACAGAAAAAAAAAGCGGCCGGCATCTCAAACCAAAGTCGTGAAAACAGCCAGCCTCAGCATCCCACTCTCGCGCTATCTCCCTAACACATACACAAGCGCATTGTCTGAGCGAAGACGTCTATAAGCTTATATACACACAAATTCTTCTTTGCTCCGGCGCTTATTGCGAATGCTGAATGGTTTTGTGGCAATTTGTTGTACGATGTGTTAAATTAACATGTATGTGTGTATATATATATATATATTTGTCTAGTCGGTCTTTTTTTTTTTATTGTCTTTTGCGTCTGCTTTTCTGCTGCGCATGCAAAATACTGTGCAAAAAGAAAGCGAAACTTTTACGTGTGCGCTGCAGTCGGCAGCGCTGCTCTGCCCAACTATCTGTGTGCGTGTGAGAGCGCTCACTGTTAAAGATAAATACAGAAGTATATACATATGTATATATAATATATGCGTGGACATGTTAATGTATGTACATATATATGTATGTATGCATAATTAAAGCGCCATAAATTGTTGCATGAATAAATGATAGCTCGTGTTAGATGTTATTAAACAGTACCGTTAAGTTTCATTTCTAAGCGCCCAATTAGCAGCTGTTGACCATTAGTCATGGGTGTAGTGGTGTTTTGGATATAGGGGGTGGCATAGTCTGGTCACAGGTCTGGTTCGCAGCCGAGCAATTATTTTCCTTTTTAATACCATTTTCTCGTGTTTTACTTTACTTTAATTTACAATAAGCACCGCAGTCGTCGCGGTCCCAGCGCTATCAAAAAGAAAAAACTTCGCGTGCTTAGACACCTATATTTTCCATCACCGTCTGCTGTTATTTACCTGCCATTGTTAATACATACATATGTACATTCATTCAAACGTATGCACTGTATATAATATTTATACTTCAAGCTTTTGCTTCTTTATCAGTCAAACGACCGCGGCCGCGGCCGCTGCGCTCTGCTGCGCCGATGTCGTCGTCGTCGTCGCCAGGTTGATTGAAAAAAGCTGAGCTTGTGTTGTTGTTGATGTTGCTTGGTTTATTTATTTTCTCTAGGCCATTTTGTCCACGATTTTCATGTTCATGTTCTCTTCCCTGTTTGCATAATGTTGTTTTTGTTTTCGTCAAGTCACAGTTGCATTTTATATTTACCTTTTGGCTTGTTGTTATTAGATAAACACATTCAAAGAGATGCCCGACAAGTGCACTTGATACACACACGCACATGCACGACACACACCGACACAAATGTTAACTGCAGATAACTGTGCATTACACATTTTACATAACAAGATCTACAGAAAATGTTAAATGACGACATGTTAAGTTCAAATGTTAAAAGCACACAAATGCATTGAATAAGAGTTATGTCTTATATCCAATCAATTGATGAAATTAGCATAAAATATTTGTTGTGCTTCTCGTCTCTTTAGGCGTAATTTTATACGCTCTCTGTAATTTTATATGCGCAATGAAGAGTATACGACTACTTGTTGTTATTGAATGCCGATCAAACAAAAAATATTTCGTGTGCATTTAAATTAAGGAATTTTTAAGGACCTACCTGGCGGCAGCCAAACAGCTACCCTTTTTATATTGTATATTGTTTTTTTTTTTTTTTTCGCTGTTACCCACATATTTTGTGCCAACAATTTTAGAGGCAGCGTATAAAATTTCCATGTCTTCGATTTGAATTACCTGCAAAAAAAAACGGAGAAATATATAAAACGAAACTTGCCGGCCTGTAAGCAGATACCGTTTTTTTGCACAGTAGAAAGCAAAAAGAGAATCTCAGCAGCCTGCAGTTTATTGTAGAGAGCGTGAGTGAAGAGAGCGAGTGCGAGTGGGAGAGCGGGAATGCGCAAGTGAGAGGAGAGGAGAGGCTGGCTATTGTTACCTACCTGCGCCGATTTGCTGTTGCCTGCTCGCTGCTTGTTTCTTGCCAATTTCAGCAAATTCCACGCGACGTTCCGTTCATTTTGCTCGTTTTGCGATTCATTCTACATACATTTGTGTGTATGTATGTATTGCATAAGTAGAGACTATGTATACATATATGTACTGTGCGCTTGTTACCTTTATGTACACTTACACACACATATATTCGTAATAAATGTTCTAAATTCGAAAATGTGTGCTTTTTGATCGCGCATTTAACAGTTTGTTTGTTGAATATTTTTAACTCTGTTTGTCAAATGCCAAAATGTTACGATTTCAGCAGCGCCTTTAAGAGCTAACATTACTGACAAAGCACAAAACATGTAAATTAACATCGCATGCTAAGTACAAGTAGTGTTAATTATTATTGTTGTTGTTTCAGCATTTGGCCCTGTTTTATTGTTATTTAACGCTATTTGAGCTTTTTAATTTGCCAGCACGCAAAATGTTACTTCGCGCTTGGCAATCAACCAGCAAAACAACAACAACATCTCCAGCAAGAAATCTTTCTCTCTAATAAATAAAGCCTCTGCCACACAGTTGATGGAGACGTTGGCCAAAAGCGGTTAATATAGCATTAACTATATAACGTTACTCGCTTTACCTGTTGTTCGTTCTCGTTTTTTGCGCTGTGACTTTGGCTTCACTTCACACGCTGCGCCGCGTCTTCTTTTGGTATCTGTTTTGGCTTGGCGTATTGATTGTTTTAATACTTTTTATGCTGAGTTTATTGACATTTGCGCTTGCGCGACGCTAACAACAAAAACGCACGCACAATATTGCTGATTTTTGTGTTCTGTTAGAAATATTTTTGGCATGCCACAAAGCGACGCCTGCTGTGAGCTTTAACTTATACATAATTCAAAATGGTGTGCTCTTCTCGCCCACCGGAATCCCCCTGTCTCTTTCTCTCTCTTCTCCCTCTTTCGGCTGCAGCGGCGGGTCGAGGCGGATATGTTAATGTCATGTAAATGCAGGCACCATTAAATGTTAAGAACAACAACAGAAATGGCGCAAAAGTTTAATGTGCCAATTGCATAAATATTAAGTCACATAGCACTTGACTAATTATTGCCTTCTCTCTTCTTTATTTTTCTTTCCGTTCATTGCAGATGTGAAGAATCCCTAGGTGCTAATTTAGTTGATAAGCGCAAACAAAAAGTACAATAAACAACAACAACAGCAACAAAATAACTGAAGCAACAAACACACATCAGTCAAATTTTCAACTGGGTGGCAACGTCATAAGCAGCAACAGCCGCGCTTAAAAGTATGCTACAGCAAAATACGGGCGACTGCCGCGCTGCCAGGCCAACAACGTAGCAGAAACAAAATAAAAACTATATAAATAAAAGACAAAGCGACTAAGTTGCTTGAGAGCAAAAAGAGCGAGGGGGAGAGAGAGAATTTTTGTAAAAAGTGCAGGGAGTGCGCGCGCGACTGCGAAATGTCGAATTTTTTGATAACCAGCGCCGCGCCCAACAGCAACACACAGCGTCAGCAGCAGCAGCTTTATGGAGTTGGCGGCACACAAGTGGTACGCAAACTCAGCTATGAGCTGCTGGGCAACAACAATAACAACAACAACAACAACAATAATATTGTGATCAAAAATGAAAATCTGCGGGACATTGATTACGAGCACGGCAGCAACGACAACAGCAACAGCGGCGTCAGCATCGGCGTCGGCGTCGCAGCCCACCTGCAAGATCACGAATACATAAGTCTGAATAAGTCTGGCAACACAACAACACCAACAACCGTTATAGCAGAAGCAACAAGCACTCATCATCAGCAGCAGCAGCGGAATGGAGGAGGAGCTGCTGGCAAAACGAATGATATCACACACTACTACAGGGTAAGGCATTAATTCAATTAGTATTTGTTGATCATTTTCAGAATTATCGATTAACACATATTGATAAGCTAACCTATTTTTGTAGCTTATCAATATGTAAATAGCTGATGAGCTTTAATTTTGAACTGTATTTTCATAATGTTATTCAGCTATGCGATACATCGATATATGTTATCGACATACCAGTCGTATGCATATGCGTATATAGTATACTCAACATTTGTACAGAAAGCTGCCGAATTCAACACACCTACACATACTCACCATGCACCATCTCTCTCGCTCTCTCTCTTATCTATCTCTATCCTTGTGTTCATCTCTGTCTGGTACAGGTCAAGCGCCGGCCGAATGTAGCCACCCACGAGATCCACCCGAAGAAACAGGCCAAGCAGAGCGCACAGCATCAAACGGTCACCTACAACAACAGCAAGCAGCAGGCGGCGGCGGCGCAGCAGCTGCGCTACCATCAGCAGCAGTCGCAGTCGCAGCAGCTGTACGACGTCGAGCACGACGAAGATGACGATGTGGAGACGAGCAAACCGGCCGGCAACGGTACTTTGCATTCGCATGCACAGTTTGCGAGAACAGCGTCGCAGCAGCAGACGACGCCGCAGCAGCAGACGGCGCTGGTGACATCTTCTTCAACGTCTTCAGCTGGAGGCGGCGGCGGTGGTGGCGATCGCAATCGGGCGGACACCTCGCTGGGCATATTGACCAAAAAGTTTGTGGATCTGCTGCAGGAGTCGCCGGACGGTGTGGTCGATCTGAACGATGCGTCCACCCGGCTGTCCGTGCAGAAGCGTCGCATCTACGACATTACGAACGTGCTGGAGGGCATTGGCATCCTGGAGAAGAAGTCCAAGAACAATATACAATGGCGCGGCGGTCAATCACTGGTCAGCAGCGAACGCTCCCGGCACATCGAGGCGGAGTGCGAGCGGCTGGAGCAGCGCGAGAACGAGCTCAACACGCTCATCGATCAGATGCGGGGCGAGCTGGCTGAGATATCGCAGGAGGTGGAGAATGTTGGCGGCATGGCCTACGTGACGCAAAACGATCTGCTCAACGTGGATCTGTTCAAAGATCAGATTGTGATTGTGATCAAGGCGCCGCCAGAGGCCAAACTTGTGGTGAGTCCCAACTGGAAGAAGAACTATAAAATTTGCTACTAAAAAGACTAAGACTAAAGTTCAGATAGGGCAAAAGTTTTGAGCCATCTCAGTGCTAACAAGTTGCAGATGCATCTCAAATCCTGAAGATTTTCGAGCATATAATCTAGATCTCAATTCGATAAATCAATATATTTACATATTCAGTTCGATTCTTCACAGAGAAATCGTTTTTTTATGTCAACATTTGTGAGTCATTTTCAAGCTTGGAACCCGCCAATGTCTAAGTTCTAGCTTAAATCCCACCTTAAAGTAGTCTAGTATCTCTATGTGTGTAATATATATGTATGCATATGTATACAAATATATTTGAAGCTGATTTTGCTTGATCCGTTCGTCGTTTTTCGGCCGACGACGTCAGACAATTGTGCTTCTTCTTTGCGTCTGCATGCCATTAAAGATGGCGCCCTATTTTTAGACGGGCCGCAGACGGCGACAAGCGACGCACTGCAAAATGGAAGCAAATCCGCAGCCCCGTTAGCCCCAAGTCCCCAGACGAAGCTACCAAGCAGTCGCCCTGCGCAGCAGCCTTTCCTTTTTGATATCAAGCATGGGGAAAATGTATTTCATATTCATATACAACATACATATATATATGTATCTCTAACAAAAAAACAAAAAAGTATTTTTCCAATTGAATTTCGCGCAGTCTTCTTTTTCTACTATCTGCCACACACTATTTATAAATATTTCGCTTAATGTTTCCGCTCGCCTTGAACTGTTTAATGAACTCGCGCCTAACGCACACACGAGCGAAGAAAAAAGCCGATGAAAAATCTGAAGGCTATTTCGAATGTGCTCCGATTACTATCGGTTAACAGTTACAGGTGGCAAGTCTACACACTAACACACTTCTCCTCTTGTATAGTCTATTACTATCTAACCTTAAATACTAAAAGTCGTTTCTGCTCTTACAGTTGCAATTGCTGTTAGTTTGTAACTGTTAATGATATTTCTGTTATTGTCTATCTCGTTTACGCTTTAACAGCTGCCCAACACAAAGCTACCTCGCGAAATATACGTGAAGGCGGAGAACAGCGGGGAGATAAATGTATTTCTGTGCCAAGACAATTCGCCGGAAAGTTCGCCAATTGCGCCTACGTTGTGTGGCAACGGGATACGCACGGCGACATCGACGCGGTTGCATCACCTGACCAATCAGCGCACCGATCCCCTATTCAATAACATTGATGCCATGAGCACCAAGGGCTTAGGTAAGTCAATGAAAATCGATAGTTGTTATCGTATATCGAACAAGGAATCGAGTAATAAATATTTACCGTTTAATCTATGCGCAGGCCATCCACCATATCGCTTATCAGCTCAGCGCAACCTCAGCAAGTCGATTGAGGAGGCGGCCAAGCAATCCCAGCCTGAATATAATAACATTTGTGATATTGGCGGCGTCAAATATGAACTGACCTCGCCACAGCAGCAGCTGCAACAGTCGACGACGCAGGCGGGCAATGATGATGATGATGATGATGACGACGACGACGACGACGTCGACGATGAGCTAAATCAGCTGGTGCCTACGCTAACCAGTCCCGTGGTGCGCAGCTATCACCATCACCAGCGGCATGGCACCGCTATTCAAAACATTTTAAACAGCCTAACACAATCCTCGCCCACGAAGGCGGAGGGCGGTCTTCGCTCTACGACGCCGCGGCTCTGGCGACGTACGGCGAATCCCGCCGCCAACATCGCGGGCAACACAACTACGCTTAATAGTCATAACAGCAGCAGCAGTAGCAGCACCAACAATTCCCAACCCCACAACAGCACCAGCAGCAGCACAGTTAATTACAGCAATCAGCAGCTACAGCTACAGCAGCAGCGACGCAGCGATGTACCAATGTATAATTGTGCAATGGACGGCGCGACTGCGTCGTATGCTGTTAGCAATAACAGCAACAATAACAGCAGCCACAACTCCTCTGCCATAGGCTCGCTGCAAATGCAGTTTGCGGCAGTAGCCGGCAATGAAAGCGACAGCGGCCTTGGCGTCGGCTTGGCGGCGACATATAGCGACATCTCTGGCGCTGGCGCCAATGTTGATCAGCAACAGCAATACCACAACACCAACAACAACAAGAATAATTATCGCAGCCTGCCGCCAGGCGTTGGCGACTGCGACGCTGACAGTGACGGCAGCAATGTTGCTCTCCAAGGCCTGGATGCGTTGTTTGGCGACATTGGCACAGACTGTAAGTATATTTCGAAATCGAAATTAGAAATTCAACTCAGTTCTATACTCCGTGTGCTGATGTCTCTCATACAAGCATCAAATCGTCCAATCACATACACTACATCTCGTCTATGTAAATAACAGCAGCAAGTACAACAGCGCCTGCTTTAACAGTTCGAATTTGATTTGATTGAAGCGCACTTATCAAGAACTTTCTCTGTGACTTGCGTGAACTCTTATATGCAAACCGCATCACAGTCTGAGTTCTTGCTTAGCGCGCACTTCGCACAGCAACATACGAATATACGAAAAACCAGTGAAGTGTTTTGTTAATTTTATTTTCTCCCAAATTTTCACTCAATATTTCGGCAAGCTACCAACCAACGAGAATCAGTTCAAAATTGAATTTTTACTTATTTCTATTTTGGTTTATCATTCAAATGTATAGTGAAATGTGTAACATAAATTTTAGTAATAAAAAGATAAAAACGAAATTAACCAATAACCAACTCTCCTTCTCTCTAGTCGCACTAACACACAGATACACGCACACACACACACACACACACACCAAAAGCATGCACACTTCATTCTACATTTTACATGACATTTGTGATGTTTTTAGAGCTGTTAAGTTAACAGTTCAATTGCTAATAATTAACAGTATCGTAACAATTTTACATTTAACGTTTTCTTTTGCCTATTTAGAAATCATTAACTTAACTGTTCACATATACTAAAAATTTGGATATACATTATTGTATATAGAGAATGTACACCGATTAACCTGCCGCCTTTATGTCGATGTTTTTTTGTTGTTTTTTTTAAATAAATGGAAACCATTTGCTCGCAACGCGCAAGCGCAAATTCATTTTGGAACTGAATTCTCGTGGGTCTGCAGTGCACTGACCGTTGCAGAGGGCAATTGTTCAAATTGAAATTGAAATTTTGTAGCACCATGAGATTCAGCTCTGGCGTGAATTTCAAACATGCATCCACTAAGAACCAACCGTTAATCAAGCGCCAACAAAATCGAATCCACTCACTCATCCAATCATATTCTTAAGTATAGGGTATCTATCAGTTTTGTGCAATTCACTAACTAGCTGCTCTTTCTCTCTTTTTCGCTCTCCTTCTCTCTCTATCTATCTACCTCTTTGCAGACTTCAATAACGAAGCGTTTGTGTCCATCGATCCGCCGGATGACAATGATTATCCCTACGCGCTGAACGCCAACGAGGGTATCGATCGGCTGTTCGACTTTAGCTCCGATGCTTACGGGCCCTAAGCCACACACACACACATACACACACACACACACACACACACACACACACACACACACACACACAACTGCGAATTGGGGGTTTGGGGGTTGGGAGGGGGTGTTTATAATTTTAAATTATATACAAGAAAAGCAGCGCATATTACGTTAGAGATGATCTATTATTATTATTATTATTATCATTATTAATATTATTACAAATTATCAACTAAAGCAAAACAGTTTCAAGAAAACATCAGCAACAAAGCAAAACAACAACAACTACAACAAAAATAAATGTAGAAAACTTAATGAAACTAAGTTGTGTGTAAAATTTTAAGAATAAAAACCTACATTTAAATTTATAATCCAAACACGTATTTTAAGTAAAAAAAAAAACAAAAAAAAAAAACAAGAAAAATGCCCCACAAAATGCAAAAAAACACATTTTATAAGCATATTTCAATTTTTAGCCTTAAACAACACAAAAAAAAGAAAAAACAGAAACCAAGCAAAAACAAACAAAATAAAAAACGAATAATTGAGAACAAAAGAAATCCTCATTAAAAAAAATATTTTGCGCCAGAACTGTCTGTAAATTAGTGCACACAAACACACACACACATAATTTTTAATTAGAAAAACCAAATAGTTATAAAACTAATATTAAATGAAAATAAATCACAACAAACAACAAATTTGAAATTGAAAACTCCAAATTAGCTATACAAATTCCAAAAGCAGCAAAAGAAAAACATTCTCTCTCTCATTCTGTTACACTCTCTCTCTCTCTCTCGACCAACTCTCAGTTTAGTTACGATCTGCATGCGCCTGAACATAGGCAATATAACTGTTAACCTAGCAAACAATACAAAATCAACAAGGTGGGGGAAAATTCCCACCAGCCAGCGAGCAACAACAACAAGAACAACAACAACATTTGTCCATGCTGTACTTTCTGTGTATTCTGTCTGCTGTTTTGTATATTTTTTAGTTGCCGTTTCAAACCTCTCTCTCAGTGCGTTTGATTTAGTTATTAAAGCAAAGTAAGCATAATTACTTATTTGTTATTGTTATGAAATGTAAACTAGAAAGCAAAAACGACAACAACACAACAGACTAGAAACTCGCAATTTAAACAAATGAAAAACAAAAACAAAATCAGAGTGCAAACTCCTTACACCCAAATATCCAAATATCAGTTCAAAGTTCATCATCAAAGTTAAAAGCCAAATCATCGCCCCACACAACAGAGTCCAACAGACAACCAACTGCAACTAGTTATTAATACCTACCGCCTAGAGGTTAAACAAAACAAATTAAAATTTACATACAAAGTGTATAAAAAGCAAGAAGATGAAGGAAAGCTCTATTAATGTACTTTTATTTTATAAACATACAAAACCGAACACACAAACTTGTTAGGTACTTTTCATTCGTTTCAAAACAAAACCAACACAAAAAAAACAACAAAAAAAACCAAATAAATATTAAAAACGAAGAAAATATAAACTGATAAACTTTGCTATTTACTGGTTTGGGTTTGGGTTATTAAAACGTTTTCCTATTTCACAGCAGCTCGAAAGAATCAGTTTTTTTTATTTGAAAAAAATTAATTATAAGTTTACCATATTTGCCAAGTGGGCTAACATTTCTAACTCGGAGAAGTGGATTTGTAAGTAAAGCCCCATCGAGCGGGATTCTATAATCTGCAGGCGATTCCTTGAATATTATACAGCTCTGCAGTGTGTACAGCCGATCCTCGGATTTGTAATAGTTAATCTAACAGAGTCAGCACGATCACCTATGTGGAGTATAATTGAAAATGCAAGTGCTTTCTCATATATATATTAATTTAGTTTTTATTATAGTCTCGCCATAATATTTTCGTTACATTGTAATATGTGTAGTTGTTTATTTCGCTTATATAAACAGGAAACAAATAACTTAGCTTTACAATTCTAATTAGCTTTAGTTAGAAATAAAAATATTGAAGCTTTTTTTTTTTGTTTGTTTTGTATTAATTTATTATATGGTAGGGTTTTGTTTTTGTTTATAGTATATGTATGTATATATATGTACATAAAAGCAGCTATGTGCGCCGACGCGGAGCCAACTATTCAGAGTATATAATATCTATATAAGAAGTTGGCATTTGGCGTCGGCGGACTGCCCAAAGAATTTTATTATAAATTTGTTGTTTCTTATTGTTAAGCATTTGCAGTTCGATACAGTAATTGAGTTAATTCAACTATCAAATATACATAATTGTTTATAATGCTTTCGGCTGCGTTTCATATATATATATATAAATATATATGCACATAAATATTTAAATTTTTGTTGATTTAAATTTACGTTGATTAATTTATAATTCCATTAATTGTTTTTACGTTTTCATTTCGCATTAAGTTTACAATTTTCGTTAGAAATTTTGCTTTGTTATGTACATAAAAACAAAAGGAACTATATTTTTCAGTCTTTTTAGTGTGTGTGTGTGTGTGTGTGTGTGTGTGTCTGTGTGTCTGTGTGTGTGTTTGTTTGTGTGTGTGTGTGTGTATATATATATGCAGCATATCTATTGTTTTTAGCGTATAACAAATTGTTTCATTTAATTTAATATAATTAATAATTCAGTTGTTTCCTTTCAAAAGTTATTCATCGATTTTATATTCTAGCAGTTTGTATAATTCATTTAAATATTTTAGGTGATCTTGCTTTATATTTCTTCGCATCTATAAAAAAAAAGATATAAATGTTGCATGCGTTTTCTCTTTTTGTTTTTGTATCAAGTTCTTCTGTTACTTTATAGTTGTATATATATATATATATATAAAGAAGGCAATATCGAATACTTTTGTTGTTGTTTTTGATATTATTATTATTTAGTTTTTAGCATTTTCAAGTTTTATTTCGTTGCATTTGCAATTTTTGAAGAGAATGTTTGGGTGTTGCATGCAGTTGGATAATTTTAATCCTTTTTCTTTAGCAAGTCTTGAAAGGGGTTTAATTTTATTATTCTTCTAATTTTATTAAACTGTCAGAACAGTGTAGTTCATATGTAAATACACACGTATATAAATATGTATGTGGGTATGTGTGTATGTAAATATATATAGGTTTATAATTCGTCTATTGCTTTTCCATGTATTTGCAGGTTGAACTTTGTAATTCGTCTATGATCCAAACGAAGTCTCCTCTCTTTCATTTGTTTTGTATTTTTTCTTTTGCTACTTAATTTGAGTTTATGGCAATATCATCTACACTCTATGTGTGTGGGTGTACGTGTGTGTGTGTGTGTGCGTGTGTGTGTAGGTGTGTGCTCTTTTGTCTACAGTTATGTTACAATAAAATGCGTTGCATATAGCATACATATTTATGTGAATATGTGTTTAGCATGTAAATATGTAAATTATGCAGCAGTTATTTAAGCTCTGAATTACGTAATTTGAAGCTTGGCTTCAACCGAAATTAATTTAGATAAGAAACAAACACAATTTAAAGCTCCACGTGCCTCCATGTGTGTGTGTGTGTGTGTGTGTGTGTGTGTGTGTGTGTGTGTGTGTGTGTGTGTGTGTGTGTGTGTGTATGGTTGTGTATAATATATAAATTATTCTCTCTCAGCACAAACTTTTGCCAATTGCCAAGCGCCATGCATAAAATCAGTGAATGTTTCTCTATTTTTTCGTTTCTCTTTTTGTGTATCATTTACAGACAGCTTTTTCACTTTTTTTTTTTTTTTTTTTTTTTGTATATAAAACGAACAACACTTAAACATAAAAGCACTAAAAATTGCAACACAATTTACCATTAATATAAAAAAAACAAATGAAAAAATTGTTTGAGTACATGTAAATTCTAGTTAAAGTTTTTGTTTAAGTTGGTAATAGTAACTAACTAATTTAAGGACATTAACTCAGTGTAGATATTTTGTTTGTTGTATTGCTTATTGTTGCTGTTGTTTTGTTGTTGTTGTTGTTGTTGTTGTTTTTGTTTTTTTTTTGTTGTGTTTCGTTTTGTAGTTGTACAGTTAGTTTGCTTCATTGTTGCATCGTTTCGTGTTTTGCTTTTTAGGTAGGTGCTAAAATAATTATTTTAATTATACATAAGTTAGGTTAGGTCTATATGCATATGCATGCATGCATGCGTATACATACACATACATATGTATTGTGTCTATGTCTAGTTGTAAACGGTACTTAGGTTGGTTTGTTGTTGGCTTTTGTACTTTTGTTATTTGCATTTAGGACTTGTTTTGTTGTTTTTGTTGTATGTGTGTGTTTAAACGGCGCTAGTAAATTATAAAAGAAATACTTAACAAATACGAAAACATATATAAATTAAGCTTAAGTGTATAATAAATTGTTAGGAGGCTTGGCTGTGGGCAAAAGTTTGCTGGCGGCCTTAATTTAAAGCATTATTTACATATGTTAGGGGTAACATTAGCACTAACAGGGCAGAGTGCTTGCTAACATGCATTCTTAATGTTAGCATAAACTCTGCTCATGCTGCGCTTTGCTCTCTTATACCATTCGAGTTTAAAGCAATTATAAGCTGCAGGCTCTGAGTACCCCGGCCCCACCCCGTTTAATATTTCTACATATTTTATGCTAATTGCTACATATACATATGCATGTATGTATTTACAAAATTCTCACGACACTTGCGCTCTTCTACGCTTCGCGTCCTATGAAACCGTTGGGCGGCGGTGGCTTTGGCGTGCTCGCCTGCCTCAGCCAATTTTCCTTGAGTATATTGGACGTTTTAGCGGCCGACGCAGCTGCTGCTGCTGCTGTCGCTGCTGACGTAGGCGCCGAAGTCTCTGCTTTGCGTGTCTGACTAACGCTGCGACTGCGCGGCTGCTGATGCTGCTGTTGCTGCTGTTGTGGCTTGATGCGCGTACGCTGCTTCTGCCGACTGAGTGGCATGCGCTCCATTTTAATGTGCTCCGTGTGCTCATCGGCGTCGTCCTCATCGCTGGAATTGAAATTAATATTTTAGATACAATTTTTTCAAATATTTCAATAAATTATCAATATTATTTACTCGTTTTCGTCTTGATCCGAGCTGCTGGGCTGGACCTGCGCTGGGCCCGTCATGGCCGCATAGTTGGGATTATCGCTGGTAAAGACCTGACCCTGTCCAGTTGCAGTCTTTGGCTCGCTCATCAGAACATAGTTGGGATTGTCGCTGATCATGCTGAAGGGTGTTGCCGCCATTTCCGCTACGGGCGCCTGCATGAGCTCATAGTTGGGATTCAGACTGCTGGTGGTTAGCTTGTTTTGGGGCCAAGACGAGTTTGCTGCATCCGCACTGTTCCCGGACTCATCCAGCAGCTTGTAGTTGGAATTGTCGCTGATGATTATTGTGCTGCCATTGCCTCCGGCGCTGGGCGTGGTCGCTGTGGGCGTATAGAAACGCGGTGTGCCCGTATAGCTGCCCGCGCTACCGCTGCCACCGCTCTCGATGGTGCCCAAATTGGGTCCCATAGATACCATGGCCATGCCGGCGGGATGACTGGTTAGATTTGAGTTGCTGCTGCTGCTCGCCGCATTCGAGATGTTGCTCTTGTGGCTGTCGTTGCTGTCGCCGCGCTTCAAATTGAAGCGACTGAGCAGCCCGTAGCCGACACGATTGCGCAAGGTGTCCGCGACGACACGTTTGAGGCTCGGATTACGACTGCTGCTCGCATTCGAACTGGCTGCCGAGGCTGTTGAGGGCTGCAGCGATGAGGAGACAACACCGCTGGTCACAACGCTGCCGCTGGCGCTGGCGCCGCCACCAATCACTTCGTCCGGCATGGAGCTGCTCATGTTGGGCATAATACTGGCGCCGCCGCTGCGCTTCGTTTTTGGGAGCAGATGCTGCTCACCACTCAGCCGTCCGCTGTTGCTGGGCACCATATCCACAAAGTTTGGACTCGGATCGTACAGCTCGTAGCCGCGTTCGCCGTATTGATTTAGCGGCGCATCCGAATCCGGTTGCACATATGCCGCATCTTCCAAATGGGAGCCACCGGCTGTGGGCAGCGTGCAGGATGCATCCGGCGTGCTACTCACTATATAGCCCGACTGCAGGCTAAAGGGTGAATGTGTTGTCGCCTGATCATCGACTAGAGCAATGGGACTCTCAGCTGGCTGTTCCACCGATTCGTTGTGCTCCATGTTGGACTTATAGCCCTCATATTCGCCCACACGCAACGGCGTTGTGGCATCTTCGCCATCCACATCGGCATCTAGATGAGCGCTCGCAAAGGCATCTATTTGATTGCGCTCCTTGCGCTCCTTTTCGCGGTACTGCACACCCGCATCGGTATAGTAGAAGGCCACCTCCTTGAAGTGCGGATGGGCGAGCCCCTCCAGATAAGCAATTATGTCCAGGAATGAGGGTCGCGCTGAGGGCCTATGATGCCAGCAGCGATGCATCAGCTTGTGCAGCACCTCCGGACAATTATCGGGCCTTTCCATGATGCCACCGTCGATGACATAGCGCAGCACCTGCTCATTGGACAGGCCCTGGTAGGGCTGTGAAGCGAGCGTAGCCATTTCCCAGAGGACAACGCCATAGCTGAACACATCACTGGAGCTCGCGTAGACGCCGTCGCGCAAACTCTCCGGCGGCATCCAGCGCACTGGCAGCAGACCCTTGGTGCCCTTGCGATAGTAGTCCGTCTCATAGATGTCACGGGTCATGCCAAAGTCGCCAATCTTTACAGTCAGATCTTCGGCAACCATGCAATTGCGTGCGGCTAGATCGCGATGGACGAACTTTTTGGCGGCCAGGTAGGCCATGCCGTCGGCTATTTCGATGGCCATTTGGTAGATGCGACTGTATGGTGGCGGCTGCACTGCACCCGCTATTGTTCCCGTGCCGGTGGTGAGCCCTATGCGCTGCTGATAGACCGCGAGCACATCTTCCCGTTCGTCGGGTCGATGGGCGCGCAAATAGGACTTGAGATCGCCCTTTTTCATCAGCTCCATGACGACCAGTGCCGGCTGTCCATACGAACAGACGCCCAGCAACCGGACCACATGGTACGTGTCGAACTCTTTCATCACGCTGGCTTCGCTCAGGAAATTGGTGCGCTCCCGATCGGTGGCATTCTCGTTCACTGTCTTGATCGCACACGGTCTATCCTCGCCGTTGTTTTGCGCCTTGAGTATGCCTTCGTAGACCATGCCGAAGGAGCCCTGGCCCAGTGGGCCCAGCTGAATGATGCGCTCTCTCGGCACCTCCCAATCATCGGGCACGTATTGCAGGCTCGCATAAAATGGATTCACTTCCGTATTGATGACCAAATCTCGCGGATGTCCCTTCTTCACACGGAAGAACTTGTAATAGATCAACAAGAACATTATAATCCCCATGATTCCAATCAGAGCATATCCGGCCCATTCAAATGGCGACAATCCGGGCGGCTGCAAAGTTTAATCAAAATATGATAGTTTTTTAATAATAGCTAAAAATTTATTTGACTTTCTAAGGGAAATTCACGACATCTAAAAACTCAATTTGAGCCACAACCATAAAAAGAATTCGTTTACATAATACATAGAAAATCCATCGTAAGAAACCTGATTTTTGGTATATTCGATCGGATAATGAGCAGAAAAGTTATCTAACACGATTGTTGTGTGGTTTACCCTGATATCCCACATTGAACAACTTCGATTCTAAGGTTTGTCCCTTGTTTTAGTTTAGTTTCAAGCCAGCTGAACTACTCACCGGCACCGTAACATAGATAAAGTCCGTAAGATCACCCTCGCCGGCCAGTGAATTGGCCCTTATGCGGAAGCTGTATTTGCCCTCGTTCAGATTGGTCACAACGTAGCCGCTCTGATTGAGATAGTCCTGCACTGTTATGCATCGTTTCTCCTCGACGGCATCCCGTTCCTGGCGTTCGTAGATGATCATGTAGGAGACGATCGCACCGTTCGGATCCAGTGGCTCCTCCCACCGCAGGCGCACATTACCCCGTGTGGTGTTTAGGTTGCCCAGAAGTTCGCCCGTTAAATTAAATGCCTTGTCCATATTAGCTGTAGGATGACCCGATGATTAGATTGATATATGCTTGATACTGAATGGCTGACTGAATGAGTACTTACCCAACTTTTGGGTTCGCTTCTCCCAGGGTTCGGCATCGCTGCACAGATCACTGAAGTCTTCGGGGCCCTCTTTCTCCCGGCATGCGCGCACCGACAGCGAATAGAAGGAGAAATGTCGCAATTTTTCAAATTGAAATTCTGTTGTGTTTGCATCCACCTCGGCGGAGAAGATCTTGTAATAGGATTCGCTCTCATCCATAACTGTCATATTCAACCAGCCCTCCATAGAATTGTTTGCCGTGTCATTTGGGTTAGGACGCACCCTGTCGAACTTGCTGGAGTTATCCAGTTTAACAGATCGAATGTGCCGCATTAGAACGCTGCCAACTTCATGCTCATACTCGTCCATTTCAATGTACCGCCTGCGCCTGCGTTGCACAGCATTCGGACTCTCAAAAGAGCCGGTGCCATCGATGCTGTTGTCGCTGATCGCGAATTCAGTCTCTGAAGACTGAATTGGCTTCTTCGATACATACAGAAAGTTCTGGAGGGCATTCTCGAATTCGATTTCATCTAAGATTTTCTCTTCAACAATCTGCTGATCGAACACGTTGCGACCGCCCGCATCGCATTTGCAGTTAGACCCTGACGTCTGCATAATTGTCTTTTCCGCGGGCGACGAGAATGTCTCCTCGTCGTTGGAGCTATTCGGCAAAGCTGAAAGCATTCAAACGTGGATTAAAAACAGTTCTTTTCACTGCTCTGCTCTCACTTACGATCCCGGCAAAAGTTACGATGATGCTCCAGTTTAACGTCCCGCCGTGTGATCTCTGCGCGCACCTGATACTTTATCAGCTTGCCATTCACAGTCAGCGGGGGTTTCCAGCTCAGCAACTGTAAAGTGAAAAGGAAAATACGATATAATTTACAATGGTCAAGTCTAGAGATTGCCACATTTCGGACACTTTTCCAACACTGTACAAGACAAAGATGAGCACGATTCGAAATTTAAGAATTTGTTTTTACAAGTTTCGCGCTTTTTGAGAACAAACGCTTATCGAGATTTGGTTTGGTTAATAATAAAAATTATTAAAATTATTTTTGGTCTAATATGTTGTCTTTCTGTGTAAGAGTTTTATGATTATGTTAATCTAATTTTACAAAATCGAAATCTATATTTTACAAATTCTCTAGTAAAATATTAGTAAGCAAAAACATCCGCAGAACTACCCGACTATAAAAATGGCAATATTAAAAAAATGGTAAAAATACTATTAATAGTATTTCAAATGTTTCGGAGTTCTTGTTTTATTGAACTGATAAATATCTTGTGACTTATGATGAAGTAAACTTCAAATTGAGGATGTGCATATGCTTTAGTTCTCAATTATATAATATAATGTCAACATTGAGGACCTATAGAGGAGTTCCATTGCTTAACTAAATCGTTGATAATTTCGGAAATGAAATCTTTCGATGTTCTGTTTGACCGACAGATTAATTGAGGGATTTACTAATCAACCGTCCTCAAAATCTCTAGATTCTTGATTGTTACACGCAATAAAAATAAAATGATTATAAATGTACTGAAAGTAATTAATATATAGCAAATTATCATCAACCCTTGAACCGAAGTGTTCCAATTGCTGAGCGTTTACTGTACTCTTAAACTGTTGTGCAAGCGATTGCATTTTATTTTTTAATTGTAGGAAATTTAATGAATATCTTTGGTGGCTTTGAAGCTAGCTGACTAAATCAATTTCTTTCTCTTCGAGCACATCTTGTTCAGCCGTGCTGGTTCGTGTCACGACCCGGGCCCAACTCTAGCGAACACCCTTTCAGACCCGAATCATACTCACAATTTTCGAGCTGTCTGTGGAGCGTGCACTGATCCTGCGCACATCCGTCGGCTTCGAGGGCATCGTCTGGAAGCGTATGATGTCGCTCTGATAGTTGCGCTTCTCCGACGAAATGGTCATGGTGCGGACATAGAATGCATATTTGGTGTAGGGCACCAGATTGGTGATTATGCTCTTATTCTCTTTGCTCGGTTCGGTCACAATCCAGCTGCAGAATGAGGTGAAGTGAGAGGTATTAGCGGACTCCAATTAATTTTATTTTATAATTAGCTTTAACGCACCTATCCGAGCAGGGTTGATAATTGTCCCTGGTGACATTACCGTATGGATCAAATGTGTGATAGATCTGATAACCAATGAAGGAACGATCGTCATCAAATATCACGGTGGTGTTTATCTGGAGCTTAACTAATGTGCTGCCCCTTTTTTCGATGTTTACTTTCAACCATATCGTATTGCCTGCGTATTTGTAAATGGATTAGTTATCAAATCAGTTAGAGATCAAATCGTAGTTATAGACATACATGTGCCCTTGTTGCCATTCGAATCCTCGGCCACCTCGTTTTTGTTAAACTTCTCCGGTTTGCCGGGCAGCATGGGTCTCAGTTTATCGATGGTCTCAATGCAAAGTTTGGGATTGAAATGAAAGAAGATGCTGCCTTTGCTAATGCTGACTGTTTGGTTTTCGGCCCAAATTGCCTCCAGATCCCGATTTTCCAGCACGTACAGAGCATACCGACTCTCTAGCAAAGTCTCGCCCTTAATGTGGCGCAGGCTCTTAAAAAAGTCCAGTGTGGTCAGGCCATAGGTCAAATGCACCTTCAGATATGAATTAATTGTATGGATCATGCCCAAACCGGACACCAGTGCATCAATCATGTGCGCTATAAGAAACGAGTTAAAGGAGCATTATTTAAGCGACTCTCTATCTTTCTCTAGAGACTCACGTCCACCGCGCTTGATGCTTATGGTCAGTCCATCCTTCCCGATCACAGTGCAGCCATGGAACTCCTTAGCTCGCACCAGACTGTCAATAATGCCGCCTTGGCACAGCTTCTGGCAGGTGCCGTTGCATTTCTTGCAGGTGTTGTTCATAGTGGCATAGCCCTTCTCGCAGCGTGTCGTGCATTTGCCATTGTAATGCACCAGCTTCATCTCCTTGCTGCTCTCGTATTTGGTGCCCATTTGTTCGCACATCTCAGCCGTAATACAACGTTGTTCGTACTGAAAGAAGAGGTCAAATTAGAGTTGATCAAAGGATTTCCAGCAGGCGGAAAATATCTTAAATATGATCCTTTTGTTTAAAAGAGTCTAGATAGAATGAAGGGCGTTAAATATAATTAATAGTCGTTTTACAGTAATCGATATATAATATTCAAAAGAATCAATTTTCAAGATAGTAGCAAGTTAGGGCAAGAGACGGCATATTCTAGAACTTATAGGTTAAAGAACCACTTTTTTTTGATTTGGGAATTATATGAATTTGGGAAATGTTGCAAGCAATAAGAAAGAATATATAAGTTATCATATTTTGAAGAAGTCGCAACGTATATTCTATCTATATAAATATTTTCACTAACAGTTTCTTGCAAGTTTCCAATACAATAGACATATAATACATCATAGATATATCAATAAAAAAAAAAATGAAAAAAATTAACTGAAGAAAATGAACTCTAATGAAAAATTCAAGTAAAAGTATTTTATGGCATTTTTAAGTAGAGTAGAGGAATAGAGCTGTAGGGACTTACCAGAAAGTAGCCATCGGGACACTGATCAATGCAATTGCCGCCATGAATGGAAACATTGCGACAGGCAACGCAATCGCCCAGAACTGGCTTTGAACAGCTGCCCAGGCAGGAGTCGTTGCAGCAGGTGTTCTCATCGATGCAGTTGTAGGGGCACTCCTTGGGACAAACTACAAACAAAGGCAAACGGCAAACATATGACTATAGATGACCGCATTAGTTCCTTGTATATCGATTCACTCACTTGTCTGGCACGCACGACTGCTCCAGCAGTAGCGCTTGTTGTCCGGATGGACCCTGCAGTTGAGCACATCGCTGGCATCCGTCATGGTATTATCCTGGGAGTCGTCGAATTTCATTTCGCCCGGACAGCGTGCACATTCCGCCTCATTGCGATTGAACTTGAGCACAACGTCCGTCTCTGTGGCATTTTTGGACAAGATCTTCTGCCAGTTGACCGTTTGCACGAAACACAAATAGTAGTTCTTCTCGATGCGGACGCCCCCATTGGTAATAGCCCGCAGATTGGACAGTCCAATATCCATCAGATCCCGATTCTGATATACGATTAAAGCGTAGCTCTCGAAGAGTATATTACCGCGTATTACGCTCAAATTGGGAAAGATTTGCGATAACGATATCAGATTATGTACACGATAAACGATTATATATCCAGTGACCTCAGTGAGCAGCGGATAGGTTGTATTCAGCTTATCCGCATCGTTGATTAGCGTTATGAGCAAAAAACCCTCGATGATCGTACAGTTCGCCAGCTGACTCAGTTCCGAAATATTGTTGCGTACATCCATTGATTTACAGGCTGTTTTTAAAGTTCAATCGAATTTATTTATAATCAAGACATATTTCAAAATCCACACTCTTACGTTCATAAGAGGTAACATTTTAATTTCGGCGCGCCGAAGCTTGTATACTCTTGCAGATTTATAATTCAAAAGGATTTTAATAAAAATATTTTATTTCCGACCGAGAGCTTTAAGACAAAGTAGTCTGATAAGGATTTAGCAGATCACATGTTAGGAACTTTGTGAAGTTCACAAATGCCAAATAATTAGTCAAGATATCTTGCAAGAGAAAATTGTTATCATTTTAAAACTAATTTGACTCGTTAATATGATAATAATATAGAGCGATAATATAAAGCTCGTAATAACCAAAAGTTTACATATTTTCAAAAGTGATTTTCACACAAGAACTCATTTTTATGGCAATTATAGCCTGCTGAAAGAAAAACCGATGCAAACTAAAAGATTTCTTTGGACAGATTTCTGTAGACACATACGGACATGATTATAGGTACTCGGCACTAAATACTCATCAGGGCAGTTATCGCTCTTAATGCACATTTCGTGAGAAAAATTATAATATCCTCTGCAAGTTTATAAAAATGTACAACAGCCAGTGCTGCCAGACTTACGCATTTCCCTGCGCGCCAATCGTACATCTCTGTTAATGTTACTGTTGCTGTTAACGCCAGGCCCGATGTTACGCGCCTGGCCTGTCAGAGAGGCCAAACTGTATTCTAAGCTACGCCTCGCTGTTAATGTATTTCGCTGCTGATGCTGCTGCAGCTGTTGTTGATCGTGTTGCGTGGGCGGCGGCGGCTGCTGCGCAATTGTTGTTGTCGCATGCAGTGTTAACAGAGCGAGTATTGTATACGCTATCCTTTGGTGGCGCCAGTGATGATGTTGTTCCTGATGATAACTGTATTTCGGATGTACTCGTTGCGCTAGTTTTTGCTGTTGCTGCTGCTGCTGTTGTTGATTTTGTGGCTGTAATTGTTGTCTTCGGCGTCTTTTAAATAGATTGCGACAATGTAGCATCAGCATTTGTTTTTGCGCAAACAGAAATAACAATTGCAGTGCGGCCAAAAGGCTTAAGCAATTGCTGTAAATGTTAAAATGTTGCTGCAGTCGTTGCTTTTTATGGATGTGGCTGTTAATATTGTTGTTTTTGTTGTTGCTGTTGCAGTGGCAATTGGCTGTTGTTGCTGCTACTTTTTGGTTATTGTCATTTGTACTATTACTACTACTACTACTTTTTCGACTACTTCTACTACTATTTGCACAGCAACATACACGCGCGACGCTGACAGCATGTTGCTGGTGCTGCAGATGTTGCTGCTGTTGCTGCAGACAGCGGCAATGTTGCGCCGACGACAGTTTGCTGGGGAATGTGGTGGATTTTGCGCCGCTGTTACTGCTACTGCTACTGCTACTGTTTCTGTTTTTGCTTCTGCGCTGGCTGCTACAGCTGCTGCTGTCTGCATAGGAACTGCTGCTTGTTGCTGTCTGAATACAGGAACATGTTGATGTTGCGAACACTTGTCGGCATACAACACAAATGTTTCCATACGTTGTTGTTGTTGTTGTTGATAATGATTCTGGCCTTGTTTTTGTTGTTTCTAATACCGTATCAGTTGTGGTTGTTTTTGTTGCTGTTGCACTGCAACTGGATTTCTGCAACATGTTGCCGGGCTCTAGCGTTTTAAAGAGTATTGATATTCTTCTTTCTCGCTTTGTTGTTGTTGTTGTAAGGGGAAAACATGCACTATCGCTTTCATTTATTTTTGCTATTGGTATTGGCAGCTTTTCCTCAGGAATACGTAAATAAACATATTCATTGAAAAATGTTATTATTGCTGATTCCATTGTTTTGCTTGCTTTGTTGCTATTTTAATTAAATTAAGAAAACTGCTTTTATTATAAATTATTTAATTAGGGGCGCCGGCCCACTAAGTGATCATTGCAGCTTTCGCTTGCACGTTCGCTAGCTCTCTGTTTCTCTCTATTTCTCACACATGCACACACCAGTTGTGTTCTCAGACTTGTAGTGTTTTGTATTTATCTTCGTCAGTTGGAATGCTTTTTGTTGTCGTCGTTGTGGTTGTTGTTTTGGTTTTTGCTCGACTGGTCGAAACTGTAATGACAATACAAAAAGTGCAAATGTTGTTGTTAATTTTATTTTACAAACAGCAGAGCGGTAAAATAACAACGGCGTACGTATGTGCATGTATGTGTGTATGTACGTAAGTACCACAGCGACAGGCAATAACAATAATTTTATGTGAAAAAGGGCGCCAAGTGCTCGATACACGTGCCTCGCCAGCGTCTGCGTCGACGCTGACGTCGCGTTATCGCTTTAGCGTGACCAAACACACACACAAATATCAGTACACTAGCATTCGTCATTAAATGAATGCAATAAATAATTTATTTCATATTTACACACACATTTAACTACAGCTTTCGCACAACATTCGAATAACATTTGCATTACATGTATATATGTATCAAGAGTTACATAGCGCATAATGTTAATGAATGCAGCTAATAATTTAATAAATATTTACATACACACATGTGGATTAATAGCTTTTAAATAACATTACACGCTTTACTATATTCGAATAACATATGCATTACATGTATGTATGTATGTCTCAAGAGTTACTTAGCGCATAATGTTAACTAGATCTACATATATAATTTGTGTGTATGTGGTTAAGCGGCTTTTCATAGTATAAACTCTTGCCTCCCATTACTCTCATTCTCATTCTATTTTGAGAGAAAAATCTCACGAGCTCACGCCAACTTTTTAATACATACTTATGTACATATGTATGTATATGTATATATGCTAATGCTCTGTCGCATTGCTCAATTAAGCAGCAGAGTTCTGCTAAACATCGACGCCGACAGCACCAATACAATGACAATTATACACACACATTGGCAATAATTTTATGCGGCAAAAGAAACAAGAATAAATAAAAGTGTTTATTAAAATTGTTGTTGCTGCTGTTGCTGCTGCCCAAACAGCATTGACGTTTGTTTGCATGACGCGCGGCCGTCGCCGCACTGACGTTAAAGCCAGGCGAGAGACTGCTACAGTGGCAGCGACGCCAGCAGCGCAGCAATTGTAAAAGCGTAGTAAATAGTAAAAAGAAAAAAGAAGAAAAAAGTGTGCGTAGCGTATTTACAACTACGTTGTAATTCATCAACTTGACGCTGCCCACCCTCCTCCCATGTGTCTCACACAGGGTGTTGCCGGTTTTTGGGGCGTAATAAAAACAAAATGCGGCTGCGTTGTCAGCGGTATGAGAGCGGCTGAGCGCAAAACGTGGCAACAAAACAGAGAAAAAATATTGTAAGAGAGCTGCCAAAGGAGGAAGCGGGACACACCACCCGCCTCTAGTTGTTGTAGTTTTTGTTGTGCAGTAGTAAAAATGCTGCTGCGTAGTTTAATCGTACTCACGCACACTCACGCACGCACGCACGCAATCATATGTATTTATTCATGTGTATGTACAAATACATATACAAGTACTATTAGATTTTGTTCTTGTGGGCTTGTCAGCGAATTGCAAATTGTTTTTGTTTCCCATAAAATTAACAACAACAACGTCCGCCTCTTTGTCTTTTTCTATCTCTCTTTTGTACTCACGCACACACCATGCTCTCGCGCTCTCATAGCTAATGCTGCGGCGGTCGCTTGCTTTATTATGCTTTATTATTATTTGTTGTTCTTGTTGTTTTTGCTTTTATTGCGCAGTAAAAATAATACACTATAATTGTCAGCCCGGACGGCCCACAGTCGCACTTTAAAGCCACAGGCTCCATAAATAATAAGAGAAAAAAGCAAAAACCAAATATGTATGTACGTATGTACATATAACTGAAATAATTAAAATGCCTTAAGTACATGTGTTTGTATAAAAAAAAAAAACAAATGAAAAGCACATGCTAAAGACAATAACAAAATCTAAATAAAAAGTGCGACGCTGCCCACTGCAGGTTACCTTTTGTCGAAACGCCATGACACCTGCCGCACTCGCACTACTGCTCGCTCTCTCAATACTGTTTTTTTTTTTTTTTTCTTCTTATTTTGCTCGCTCTTCGCAATCAAACGAGACATCGCCGCACAGTTAGGGAGCCACAGCGGTTCGCATAAGCTATGCGGCTGGCTCTCAAACTGTACAGCTCTTTTCAGTTACACACACACACACAACCATGAACACAGAGAGCGCGCGTGAGAGAGCTCGCTTTGTGCTCACCAAACTGTATAACAACAATGTTGCTGGCAGGCTGACCCAATTTCACAAATTTGTATTTTTTTTTTACTATCAGGTGAAATAACGCGCAACATTTCCGTCTAACTTTGACAGCGAAATACAACAGAGTTGGTTAACAGACACAAACGCACACACACACGTGGAAAATTAACAGACGCTCCCACTTGGCAATTTTTTTATCATTGTTTAATTTTGTTAAACTCGGCCACAGGCGCCACCGTGCACGAGCTCGTTAAATGCGAGAGAACTGCTATTGGCACGCTTAACTATCATTTGCTTTGCTGTTATTCACCTGATTACAGTTTTTTGTTTTTTTATGTACAGCTGCAATGGCTTAAGGGCATGCGCTTGTGTAATTGCCTTTACTACGCACGCGCAGCAGTTGGCAGCGACGTTAAGGCATTGGCGAATGACGCCAATCGAGCGGCTTCTGCTGCTGCTGCTGCTGACGCTGCTGCTGCTGCTGTTTAAATGCTTCTGACTCATTGTTGCAGCAATAACAACAGCAATAGCAAAAATGCGAGTTTAAATTAACAATAACAACAACGTTAACGACGGCATTGACGCTGGCAATAACGGCAACAGCTACAACAACAACAACAATTGCCACTCTGCGCTGCGGCTTCCAAAAGGCAACAACATTCCAATCCGACCAAAGTTGCCAGACCAGTTAAGAGCAGCAGTGACAACAACAACAACAACAACAACAACAACAACAGCAATAACAATCAAAACCAAAGCGTAGCAATGCATGAAATATTTCTTATGCTCCAAATCCGCCAATGGGCAAGTTTTTTTTATATATTTTTTTATTTTATTTTTTTGTTTTATTTCTCTTTATGTCTACACGCACACATTGAACAAAAGATTGGCAACAAAATTGAATAAAACCACAAAGTTAACATTTCTTTCAGACCAATCACAACAAGAGAGTTAATAATTATGTTTAACGCTTCGACAAATCCTTAGGCTAATTTTATTTGGCATACCCTGAACTTATTAGAAATGGTTAAATAGGGTATAATGCTTCTGTGCAAATGTATGTAACAGGCAGCAGAAGGAAACCCCTTAAAGTATATGTATATATTCTTGTTCAGCAACAAAAAACCCATATCCATATGTTTGAATTTATGTACGTGTCGATATCAGAACCTATACGAGCTGGAGGCTTGAAAATTCCTTCGAGTTTTCCTTTTAAGTTGACCCGTTTACGTGCAATCGATAGCAGTCGACATAGATATCCCGATTTTTTTTTTAGCATATCTCGTATGTTTCAATAGTCACCAAATTTTGTATGTGGATTGTCGAATAGTATTCACAGATCAGGTATATTTCATTTGCTGTATACCGCCTCCCGATTTCGCAAATCACATGACTATATCTATTCATATGCGTGCATTCTTTATCGAATTCTATTATTTGAATTGCTGTGATGTGCTTTGGCGATAAGGTGTGGGGCGATCGCGAGTAATTCGTTCGACGGACGGGCGCGACTTCGAATCTCAGCAGGAGGACATTTTTAATTTGATTTTAATTGTTCCCTTATAGGGTTCACTTTATGAGTCCCTTGGAAATGGATTTACAAAAAAGGGATAATAGATCCGATTTTTCCTGGTTAGCAGCTTGCATCGGCGTGCGTGCGTTTAGGGGGGGGGGGGGTATCTCATAGTCGTGCACTGCCAACTGGAGCACTCTTACTTGTTTTTGTTTTATTTTTTTATCGATTCTTAAATTTGAACTGCGATGATGTAAGAATTTGTTGGAGAAAACATCAAAACAAGCGACTCATAGATTACTGAACAACTTAGTCACAAGCCAGACGTGAATATTTCGCTGGAAATGGCAGCTATATGAATATTTCATATATTCCACAAATAGTTCGAATAGTTCGTTAGAATTCGCAGCTATATAGATACCTACTGTCAACGCGGTTGATATACTATATGCGAGAGTAAAAATTAAACACAATTTTGCACTTTTCAGGGCAATTTTCTGGCCTGGTAACAAATTTTAAGCTGTATTATTTCTTTTTTGTTTAAGACCCCATCGATTTATATGACATCCATTTTATTTTCAACATTATGAATCAGTCTACAACATTCTATAGCTGGAATTTAAATGTTTTCAATTTAAGCAAAACAGGTGAGTTTATCCAAATTTTATGCAAAAATGTAAACAAATTTATGCAGATTTAACGAGGCTTTATTTTTTTTTTCCATCCATAAACTGATTTTAAAAAATTCTTGATGAAGAAAATGGCCTGCGATTGCAAATGATATTAGCTAATTTTAAGTTAAGTTGAACTTGATCAGTTCAAAGCTGATAAATATTTAAATTCTGAATATATATTGTATATATATGTATGTATATATATAATATAGAATGCTCGATCTTAACTCTACAACAAAATGTTGTTAGTTTATTTAGCAGAATTTGTGTTAATCTTTGATTAAAGATTAGGTTTTTAATCGATATTCTATTGGATCAACAATTTAGAATCGCCCGATAAATATAGTTTTGTTCTTAAAATAGGTTTTGGTTGTTTTTTTTTTAGTTTATCAATATCAAGATATTTATCGTTAATTTGACAGGTTTTTTTATCAGACTATTCATTAAACAATTATTTCATCATGTGTGAAATAAGTGAGTGCAACATTGTTGTTTACTTGCATTCATTTGAATGATCATGATAGTTTTGCCTTTTCAACAGCCTTGTCATTGTGACTGTAATTGTGAACTATACGTAATTTCATAATGTTTCGGCGACGCCTGTGAAATACTGTGGAACAGCTACTTTGGATGGTCACATGTAGTGCCTAATCTCTATGGCTGGGCTCTAATGAAT